TGCACCTGAGGTTGCAGGTATGGGTAATTGCTGCTGGTTCGGGTTTATTCTAAATATAGATGGAGGTTCTGATCTTGTGTATGATTTCGGAAAGTGCAATGTGGTTCTACGGTTTATGGTCTAGACGGATTGTGAGGTTTCAGCTATATTGTATTATCGGACCTATGCGAGATAGGGTGACGTGGGATCACCCCGGATGTATGCTTGGTAAGATCATTCAGCTATTGGTTGGCTTCTAGTACAACTCTGGGTACGCTCGAGGATGAGCGTTTGTTTAAGTTGGGGAGGATGTGACGACCCGACCCGTCGTCTCATGAATTACCGCTCCGTTTCCCCCATTTTATGCTTCTTCATGTTTCATTATCAGTATTTGGTGTGTTAGAGTTGATTTGGATTGGTTTTGGTAGAAAATAAGACACTTAGTGTCTTTAAGGAAGTTTTGGTTTCGAAAAGTCAACCGGATGTTGACTATTGAGTTAGAGGGCTCGGATGTAATTTCCGGTGATTCGGTTAGCTTCGAGGGATGATTTGTGACTTAGGAGCGTGATCAGAAGTGGTTTTGGAGGCCCGGTGAAGAATTAGGCTTGAATTGGCGAAGTTAGCATTTTGGCGATATCCGGTTGATAGGTGAGATTTTGATCCGAGGGTCATAAAGGAATTCCGAGAGTTGTTGTACCTTCGTTATGTGATTTATGATGTGTGTGCAAAATTTCAGGTCATTCGGACGTCGTTTGGTTGGGTTTTTCATCGAATGCGTGTTTCGGAAGTTTTTGGAAAACTTAGGCTTGAATCTGATGTAATTTTGTTGTTTTGGTGTTGTTTGAGGTATTTTGATGATTGGAACAAGCTTGGATGATGATTCAGGGTGTGTTGGTGCTTTTGGTTGAGGTCCCGGGGGCCTCGGAGTGATTCCGGATGGCTAACGGGAAGTTTGGAACTTGGAAAATATTGCAGAAATTTCAGATCAGGTGTTGCAGGTTTTATACCTTCGCGATCGCGTAGGTGTGTCGCATTCGCGAAGAAGGGAATTGGAAGGCAGGTGAATTACTTTTCGCCTTCGCGTACGCAGAGGGGTAGCTGAGTGTGCATCGCGTTCGCGAGGCAGTAGCCGCGAACGCGTACAAGGAATTGAGGTTCAGGGTTTTTGGTCTTCGCGTTCGCATCATGTGTGTCGCGTTCGCGTATGTATGAGGAATAAAGCTTCGCGTTCGCGTGGTGTGGGCCGCGTTCGCGAAGGGCATTTTTGGCAGATGGAAAATTTAAGCATCGCGAACGCGGGATAGCCCTCGCGTTCGCGAAGAAGGAGGGGTCAGACCTGGGCAGAATGTTTTAAAACATTTCATCCGCGAACCCAACCCATTTTTCCACCATTTTTGGGCATTGTTGAGAGCTTTTGGACGGGGATTGAAGAGAGGTTCAACTGGGATCGATTGGAGGTAAGTTTTATTAGTTAAAAATATGATTTTATTGTAGAATCATCCTTGAAATTCATGAGAATATAGCCAAATTGTAAGAAATTAGGGCTTGAGTTTGAAATTCTAAATTTGAGATTTGAGGGGCCATTTGTGGTCCGATTTGAGAGATTTTGGCATGTATAGACTCGTGGCGAGATGAGGAATCCGGTGATGTTAATTTTCTGATTTTTCGAGAAGTGGGCCCGGGGTTCAGGTTTTGCAAATTTCGTGATTATCGATATTTTTCGAGTCTTTTCGATTGGGTTATGTTCCCTTAGCCTATTGTGATGTATTCGCTCTGATTTTGGATAGATTCGACGCGCGTGGAGGCCGATTTGAGGAGAAAAGGCATCGCGAGCTAGAGATTTCGCCGGTTCGAGGTGAGTAATGATTGTAAATGATAGTCTGAGGGTTTGAAACCCCGGATGTGCACATCATAGTGCTGTATTGAGGTGACTTGCACGCCAGATAGCGAGCGTGGGGTAGAGCACCGTTGGGGATTGTGACTTGGTCCGTCCCGATTGATGAAATTACTATGTATTTGACTGAAACTACTTGTTATCATCATAATTTGGGCTGATTGCCATGTTTGGGCTTCGTGCCAACTATGTGAATCCTTCAGGGATTGATATCATTGTTTTCGCATTACTTTGCAAATTATTTGATCTCGGTCCAGGGTTTTAATACTGTTTTGCAAACTCAGCCATTTTTCTAAGATTTGAAAACTTAAACAATATTTTATTGACGTTTTGAGCTGAGAACCATTATTTTAATATTGCCCAAGTGGCTTATGTGCATTTCTGGACTGAGCATGGATCGGGCTGCGCCGCAGCAGTGTTATAGTGATTTCTGGATATATTGATGGCTCGGGCTGCGCGCCGCAGCGGTATTGTATTGATATTGAGGCCGAGGGCCTGGTTGGTGCCATGAGATGGCTTGATTATTTGCGCTTGGGCTGTAGGAGCCCCTCCGGAGTCTGTACACACCCCCAGTGAGCACCGTCGACGCTAAATACATGGATGGCTTGGGCTGCACGCCGCAATGGGTACCAGAGTGTACCGTCATATGCATTGCATTGCACTCATGCATTTGTTCCTATTGTATTATTTGTCATGACATTTCAGCACTCACATTTCGTTGGCTTCCATGCTACTTCTTGCATTGCTTACCTGATACCCTAGTGTTATTTGTTAATGGAGTGTTGTTCCCGAGGGGCTGACTTGTGTGCTGACTTGCACTATCTGTTTCGCATTCATTTGCTTAACTGTGGAAAAAGATGTTTTCGAAAGAGGTTTTAAACTGAGCCCAGATATTTCTAAAGATTACACGGTTTCAATGTTTTCTCAAAGGGTTACACTGTTCTATATAGCATAATGATTTGCTTTACGTGATTTCTTGCTACTCAGTTATTATTTACCTTTATTACTCACTAAGTTGGAGTACTCACTTTTCTCCCTGCACCTCGCGTGTAGATACAGGTACTGGTTTACCCGGTAGCGGGTTTGAGCTGGTTGAGGATTTGCTATCGTAGCTGAGCAAGGTGACCGCCAGCGTTCGCGGCACCGGATTTCTTCCTTTTGATTCCAGATTGTATTCTATGTATTACAGGCTTTGTAGTTGTATGAAAGATCCTTCTAGATGCTCGTGACTTGTGACACCCCGATTTCGGGCTGAGTCGGGATGGGTTCTCTGTTTTATCACGTTTATTCCGCAATATGATTTCATTATCTATGATTCAGACTTATTCATGCTAAGTAACTGTTAAAAGAGGCGTTGTTCTGTTGGCTGGCCTTGTCTTCACGAGAGGCGCCATCACGACCGGGTTTTGGGGGAATTGGGTCGTGACAGCCTACTGGGCGTAGCAGCGGGGATGATTCTGGGACTTGGTGAGTTGCATTATTCGAGGTGACCTGCAGCTAATGTAGTCCCTTCCAGTGTTTTGTATTTATTTCCTGTCCATTGTATTCCGAACGGATGTTGTATTTTATTCCCTTATCAGTAGATGCTCATGCACTTGTGACACCGGGTTCTGGGATGGTTTGAATATTGTATGGACTGCTTATCATTTAAATTTGATTTGAGATTTTATTCTTTAAAAATTTCTAAATTTTAAGGAAAATCATAGAGTTCAGAAGCATTAAAACGAGAATCTGATTAAGTAATTGGTTGGCTTGCCTGACAGCAGCGTCCGGCACCATCACGACCCTTAGTGGATTTTGGGTTGTGACATTTCCCCCCTCCTATCTTGACCTGTAAATTTCTGCTTTTATTTTTTCGCTGTATATCATTTAACTGCACGGGTTTATTTGGTAGTCTGGCCCTAGCCTCGTCACTACTTCGCCGAGGTTAGGCTAGGCACTTACCAGCACATGGGGTCGGTTATGCTGATACTACACTCTGCACTGTGTGCAGATCCTGGTGCTGTAGCTTTTGGACCACAGTGAGGTTGCTGCCTCCAGTCCAGTGGCGGAGACCCGAGGTAGTCCTGCAGGCGTCCGCAGGCCTTGGCGTCTTCTTCTATCTTTCCATTCTGTTTCTTTTATGTATTTCAGAGACAGCTTTGTATTTATCTTTCAGACCACTGTTTGTAGTATTCGTAGACAGTCCGTGACATTGTGACACCAAGTTTGGGTAGAGTTATATGTTGGATTCTGCACTAGTATATGGTTAAACTATGAGTTTCGTCTTCCGCATTTCTGTTTATTATAATTATTTCGCTGTTGATCACCTATTATATTGAACTGTTAAAAAGGGCTAAGCAAAAAGGTTAATGAATCTATAATACTCGGCTTGCCTAGCTTTCATGAGTAGGCGCCATCACGCCTCCCGAGTGTAGGAAATTCGGGTCGTGACATATACTCATTGCTTGTATACATTTTATTTTTTGTCTCCACCAGAGAATTTCTGAATGGAAATTATTTTGCAACTCGAGCGCTAACCTAATTTATGGCAGATCCGAATTTTTTAAGTATAGATACATGGAGTACCGCTAGTCACGACGTTAATATAACAATATACCAATTATTTATGAACCTGCCAGTTGGTTCAAGATCATATTTAGTACTTTAGCCTTAAAATATTTGAGGCGTAAACACTTCCATATTTTGCATTACTAAGTTAATAGATATTACATAGAGTACATGAAAAATAGATGGCCACTGTAAAATGAGATGAGAATGACAAGGAAAAACTGGAAACCAAAAAAGATGCTATGCATCCCCAATAAAATCAACATAATAGTAAAATGGGTCAAAAAATAACCAACACTGGCAAGTAGCCTAATTAAGTACAAAATCAATGGAGCTTTAACAATCTATGGATTGTCTTACGTATCTAGAGAGTAAAAGTTTAACACCTGAGAGAACCATGAACTGATTCAAATATCTTGTCCATAACAAATGAGAATACCAAACTAACTAAACTGGAAAATTTCAATACCAAGAAAAACATGAAATGATTCAAACATCTTGTTCATAACTAATAAAACTAATAAACTAACTGATCAGACAGATCTTAGTTTCTGCAACAGTTACATTTGAAAATAACTTATGCTGTCTTCTTTTTAAATACTCTCTTGATCTTATTTTCCGATAACTGTGCATTCGAATCTTCTTCAACCACTGCTGCAAGATTAGTTATACCCATCTTGGCAGGTGTATTTGCAACATCGATCAACTCGTTATCTTCAGTAAAATCATACATATTTAAAACACAAAAACTTGTGAAAATCAATAGTTAATCTATAGTTCTTATTGCTTTATTATTTTATAACCTGCAAATCATTAAATTAAAAGAATGAATTGTGTAAAATATTAATAATGAGTTGTAAAATCACCGTGATTTCGTTATCTTCATGACTGACTTCGTTATTATTGAAATCTGGATCCTATAAAAAAAATGTGCATCATAATTAAATCAATTCAACCACAAATAGGAAAGTTGAGAAAAATTAAGTATAAAAACATACTTTGAATGTCTTTTCACGTGGAGAAGGAATGTATTTCTTTATAATTTCCTCGTCGTCGCTAAGTGTAACAACTTTCAAGACATCATCTTGATTCTTACCGTTCGAACTCTTAACCTCCACTTTAAACATAAACTTTTTATCAACAATATTTTCTATCTCCATTGGACATGAAGAGTCGTCTGCAATACCATAATTCTAACAAAAAGGACATAATCACAACGGTTAACAGAAGCCACAACAACAAAAGTAAAAAACAAATGTAATATGGTGTACACATATTCTTTGTTCCTTGTTCGAAGGGATTTAATAGTTACAAAGATAATGCTTCAATTCTCATAGTAAGTGTGTTATTAAGCATAAGCTAAATGCCAGGAATAATACACTAAATAAAGCTACTAAAATAAAAAGAGCAAAGTAGAACATCGGAAACAAAAGTGAAAGCATAAGTTTTCTGAAGTAGGATCAAAATAAAGTGAAACATCAATCAAAATTCAAACAATATTTATGCTCTTTAAAAGACACCAAACTACAACTATCTTAACTTTACCGAAACTTAGGGTCAACTAAAACTAGAGAACTATTACCATCATTTCAAACTTATCAACCCTCTCAAGTAAATCTAAAAAGAGCAAATGCATACTGATGTTATAAATGTCAATACCACACGAGAGGGGGGTGATTTGTGTGGTACCTAATTTTCGCGTTAGAAGAACCTGGTTCTTCTAAGTGTTCTAACTACAGCAGTTTGCGGAATAATAAATACTGAAAGTAAAGTGCACAGAGATTTTTACGTGGAAAACACCTGGCTCAAAAGGTGAAAAAACCACGACCTACTACTCAGTAGGATTTTCCCAAACTCCACTAAAATCACTGAGCCAAAAACTGCATTTACAAAACTCTTTGTAAACCTAAGGATTAACTCTAATCCCGTTGTAGCAATCAGCCTCTAACTGGTGCGACAACTTCAAGTTAACTCTAACTTGAATACTCAAAATACCTATTACAATTGCTTCTATGAAAGCTGGAAAGGTACAACTTTAAAACACCTACTACAATTGAACTAGAATAAAAGAAAGACACATAAAACTCTTTATGGAGCTGGTTCTTCAATCTGGTTCTTGTAGCTTCTGGTTTGCACACTTGAATCACACACGAATTTCTTGCAAAAAGCCTTGCTATTTTGCTCCCAATTCACGTTTAACTTCTGTGTTTTTGTGCAACACTTTAATGTGAGAACATCCTGCAATTTATAGAGTTAGTAGATGAAGAAATAACTAGAGTTCTGATGCAACTCTTCCTTGGTGGAAGAGTTCTAGTTGATTTCAACTTCTAACTCCTTCCTTATCTTGAATAGTGTTCTCTTTGATTAAGGACTCCTTCTCCTTATCAATTATGCAACCTTTTCGATCAGGAGATATTAAATACACCAAGTTAAGCTTATCTCCTTCACGTGCATCCCACATGCTTGAATCTGCCCATTTTTGTGAACCTTAAAGATGGACCACTGGATGGACCTGGTTCATGTCTGAGTTCCTTTGTCAGTCTTCAAAACTAACATTTACTTGGGCCAACAAATTCCCCCTTTTTGATGATGACAAACACTGTGCTTTTCATAAGCTTAGCCCTGTTTCAACTCAGCTTAACATCAACACAATGTTAGAAACATTTTTCCTTTTTATCACTTATCATCAAGAACCAGGTACATTAGGTTATAAACATCACTGTTCAAAGTGTAAGCATCACTTGTTTAAAGCACAACCTTTTTTCCCCCTTTTGACATCATCGAAAAGTTGCATAAAAAATGTGAGATAACCAGATTTTAAAGCTTACTCATGGCCATTGGGGCTACTTCAAGTGCAATCATGAATTAATCATCATAGATCAAGCTAAGAATTTAAACCATCAAAGAAATATAAACAAACAGTTAGAGCAAAAACAGTGAATTTCATTGATGATTGATAAGATTCTACCACAAAGCATAAGAAGAAATAAAAATACTGAAAACATGAGCAAAAGAAACAAACAGTCTCGAATTGGGTCACTGGTTGATCTACACTAGGCTAGGATTTAAGGTTTGGAAGAGGTAGGGGCTAGGTTATTTGCTTGGAGAAGTTTCAGCATGTCTTGAAGAATTCCATCATTCTTCTCCTTTTCCCTTGCAAGTTCAGTTCTGAGAACATCTCTCTCAGATTCTACCTCAACCAATCGTGTCTTCAGCCTTGCTATCTCAATATCCTTTGCCTCACTCTCCTGTACCAAGACTCTGACTTTGCTATTGATATGTGTCTTTTTAGATGAACCAGGTTCATTTAAGAATGACATTGACTTCATAATCGCAAGCAAGCAGAGTATTAACCCCACTTCTTCATAGGTACCTTGAAATGTGCAAGCACAGCTGTGAGAATGAAACCATAGGGAATGGCATGAGTTTTGGTGCCATTGATAACCCTATCAGTAGGTCCAAGAGGGTTTCCTGTTCAGATGGAACAGGTTCATCTATATTTCTCAAGTTGAACCTACCCCTCAGCAGCTTCCCACTTCCCCCTGTTTTGCTCACACTCTCTTCTATTTCAGTAAATTCCTCTCCCCAAACAACTATTGCACCAGTTTCTTTTGTTTGACCAACAGGAGTGGGTGAAGAATCAACCACTCTTTTACCCTTTCCCCTCACAGCACTCCTAGCACCCTTGCTCTCCTTTTCTTTTTCTTTTTTTTTATTTTTACCACCAACTTCTCCAGATTCTGTAGTCTCAACACCTGCTATAGATCCTACCAGTACAAATCTATTCTCTAATTTTGCAGCCACTTCAAAAATTGTCTCAGGAGTAACTTTAGAATCAGAAGATACCTGTTCAGTTTCGGAATACCTACTTTCTTCCCCCTTAGCAGCAGACTTAAATGAATTTTCAGATTTCTAGGATTCTTCTTCCTACCTGCTTTCAATTGCTTGTTTATTTTCTTGATCTGCTCTCCTTCAGCGACAATCTTATGAGCCATCATCTTTACTCTACTTTTCTTCGAGATTGGTGTGGATGAAGCAGTGGTAGAAGGTGTGGAAATGGTTTCCTGTGGTGGTGATGAAGGATTTTCAGAGGTGTTTGACATATCTAGGCTAGGGTATGAAAAGAAGAGAATTAGATTGTGTTTGGAAGATAAAAGAAGAATGAGAGTTTTTTGACGTCTTGAGAGAGATGAGGTAAGGAATACACTAAAGCTGATCAATATACAGGGAATAATTGATGGGGTAACTACAGCTTTTCAGACTCTTAGAAGTTTAATCAAACTAAAACTCAGTTTTGAAGAGACGTTGGAGTGTATCCCTAGAATCTAGGTACTTCCATTTGGTTGGGACTCTTTTGAACGGGACTGGTTCACTTGTAACGGATATGTCCAAAAGGAGTTTGGTATTTGGTAGGACCTCTGCTCATGATCCAAATATAGTTATTTCAAATTATGCAGAGTGTAGAAAACATATCGTGTTATCTTGATGAACCAGGTTCTTCACTGATAATTCTCTTGTGTGAGTCTAAATTTGCCAAAATAGAGAAAATATCATTAGAGATTAATGAGTCATTTTAACACATGGCACAAGAGTATACTATGGAAAGTATGAGACTGAACAAGATTTAATCTAATTATACACAATTTACAGACTTTCTAACCAATTTCTATTTTTCAATCCTTTTTTTTTCCGTTTAACCTTGAACTGGTCCTTTTAGGTGATCTTAATCATCCCTAATTCCAACCTGTTCCTCTCAAAGTGATCTCTACTTAAGGCTATTGTGAAGATGTCAGCAATTTGCTTGTTAGTAGCACAAAACTCCACAGCGATCAAGCTTTTCTCATAGTTGTCCCTCAAAACTGGCTCCTAACACTATGTGCTTAGTTCTCTTATGATGAACTGGTTTCTTTGTCATACTCATAGCACTAGTGTTATCACAAAAAATATAGGGATGCAACCAACATCAATTCCAAAGTTCAGTAATGGTTGTTTGATCCACAACAATTGAGCACAACATGAAGCAACAGCAACATACTCAGCTTCAGCAGTAGATAAGGCCATTGAATTTTGCTTTTTGGTAGCCCATGACACAAGACATGAACCAAGGAAGTGTGCCATACCTGGGTTGCTCTTCCTATCAATTAGAAAACCTGAAATCGAGCACAAAGACCTACACTGCACACAATATCAGGTCTGCTAGTAGTGAGATATAAAAGAGAACCAATCATTCCCCTATACAACTTCTGATCAACAGATGAACCAGGTTCATCTATAGCCAATTTTGTGGATGTTGCAATAGGAGTGTCAATTTCTTTGGATGTTCCTTCCTGGTTTTGTTACTGAGGAATAGGTTCATGGACAAGTTCCCTCGAGGTTTGAGGATCAGTTCCTCTCTAGTCAGTTCCCCCTGTCATGTTGCCTTGGGTAGAAGAACCTGTTCCATCACATGTTCCTTCGTCTGTTGCAGCTTCAGTCTGGGCTGCGATATCATTTAAATTTCTTACCAGCCCAATTGCTTCATCTTCATGTTCCAGCTTATCAGAAAGAATGTTAGTTTTAAATAACATATACATTTTTTCTACACACATAGTTCTTTTACTGTATATCTTATAAGTTTTACCATGTGAAGAATATCCCAAGAATACTCCCTCATCACTTATGGGATCATACTTACCTAGGGAGTCTTTTCCATTATTGTGCGCAAAGCACTTGCATTTAAATGCCCTAAGATGGGATATATTTAGCTTTCTCCCTTTAAGTGACTCATAGGGAATCTTCTTAACAAGAGGTCTAGTCATGCAAATATTTATGATGTAGCATGCAAAAATTCAGCAAACTTAGCATTTTCAAATTCAGTTCCATGATCAGACCTAATTGATGCAAGTTGATTACCTAGTTGTTTTTGAGTTTTTCTAACAAAAGAAGTAAACATGTCAAATGCTTCATCTTCCTAGAGTAATCATCAACAAGCACCATCACATGTCTTTTACCACCTCTGCTTAATATTCTCATTGGACCACAGAGATCCATATGGACCAGTTCCATCGTTCTGGTGGTACTTACCACTTTCTTGCATTTAAAAGAGGATCTTACCTGCTTCCCCCTTGCACAAGCCTCACAAACTTTGTCATCCTTGAACTTGATGTTAGGCAGCCCTATCACCATGTCCTTGGAGACTAATTTGTTGAGTTGACTCAGACTTGCATGTCCAAGTCTCTTGTGCCAAAGGAGGGGATCATTGTCCAACACACTTAAGCAAGTGAGTTCATTTTCTGAAAGTGTGGACTACAATGCATGTATTGTTTACTCTTTTTCCCTGCAAAACAATCTTGTCAATGGTAAGATTAATCACAAAATATTTGGTAGTGGTGAATGCTACCAAGTAACCTTTATCACATAATTGTGATACACTGATTAGACTGTACTTTAGGCCATCTATCAAGTAGACATTCTCAATAGAGTGAGAATCAGTCTTACCTACCTTTTCAACCCCAATGATCTCACCTTTCTTCCCATTTCCAAAGGAGACATTACCTCCTTTGAGGTCCTCAAGTGAAAGGAACTGGTTCTTGCTTCCTGTCATATGCTTTGAACAGCCACTATCCATGTATTATATTTGGCTGCCCCCCTTCACTTGGAACCGCGAAAGGAAATCAGGGGTTAGTCTTAGGAACCCAAACTAGTTTGGGTCCCTTTCTATAGGCAAAAGAGTGAATCAAATTCTTTTTAGCCCAACCTGGCAGCCTATTTTTCCCTTGAATAAATTCTTTATTCTTTTGACTAGCCTTTTCTTTTGCAATACATTCACTTTTATAGTGACCAGTTTTACCACAATGTGTGCAAATTTTGTTCTCAGGAAGTGTGAGGTACTTGCTTTTAGGGTCCCACTTTGGTGCTTGAGTCCCATAGCCAAGTCCTCTTTTGTTGCTACTGTGATGCTCTTGCAACCAAGAGAGTGCATCAGAGGCCTTGTTCCATTTGCAAGTTCTGTCTAATTCATGTTTCACCTTTCCTAGATCTTCTTTTAGGACTTTAATCTGCTCATCTCTTTTGTACAGCTCATCTTTCATTTTTCCTACATTTTCTTCTAAAGTGAGTTGTGTGTGATCAGATTTCTTTTTACCAGTTCCTAATTTCAATTTTAGATTTTCAGATTTAAGCTCTAGGACTGTGGTGTCAAGTTCATGAACCTGGTTCTTCAACTCAGCATTTTTACTATCACTCTCATTAGCCCTAAGTTCCAGGTTTTTGCACTTAGCTTTCAGAATCACACACTCCTTAGACAACTGTTCCTTTTCATTGTTTATAACTTCAAATTCATCAATGAAATATAGAAGTAATTCAGATAGACTTTCTTTAGACAAAAACTTAATCTTGTCTTTGAGATGAATTATACTTACCTCAGATTCCTCATCGGATTTCCCAATTGCCATAAGTGCTTGTTCATCTCCATCTTCGTCTTCTGAGTCATCATCTGAGCTTTCACCCCAAGCAGCAACCATAGCCTTTGTTGATCCTTTGTTCTTCTTGGGATGAACCTGTTCCTTCTTCCTGTTCCTTCGTTCAGCTCTTTCCTTCTTCCATTCAATTTCCCATTGAGGGCAATTTTTGATGTGGTGATCAGTCTTCCCACACTTGTAGCACCCCTCATTGGTTTGTTTTTCAGGAACCCTTGGTTTGTTGTAGCTTCCATTTCTTGAAGGACCATTTTCTCTTATTAGGTACTTCTTAAAATCCTTTGTGATCATGGTCATTTCATCCTCATCTAGATCAGCACCTTCAGTGATTCTGAATGCCAGGCTCCTTTCCTTCTTAGGTGCATCCATCTTCATGGTTTGCCTTCTAAGTTCATAGGCAGTTAAATTTCCAATTAGCTCATCCAACTTGAGAGTGGCAATGTTCTTTGATTCCTGAATAGCTGTGATTTTGCTTTCCCAAGAGATTGGCAGTACCCTTGTCAAAATCTTCTCAACTTTGTCTTCTTCAAGAATAACCCTTCCAAGAGACTTAAGTTCATTTGTCAGTGTGGTGAACCTTGTATACATCTCTTGGATGGTTTCCCCTTCCTTCATGGTGAAATTCTCATATTGAGAATACATCAGTGTTCCTCTGGACCTCTTCACTTGAGGTGTTCCTTCATGTGCAACTTGCAAAGTATCCCAGATTTCCTTAGTAGTGGTACAACTTTGAATTCTACTGTACTCATCTGGACCAAGTCCACGCACAAGCCATTTCTTGGCCTTAGCATTTTTCTCCCATTTTCTTAAATCCTCAGTAGTGCAGTCAGCTCTAGTTTTTGGCACATCCACTCCTTCAGCATTCTTCTTTGTAGTTGCTAGAGGACCATCAGTGACTATGTCCCAGAGTTCATAGTCTTCTCCTATGATGTGATCCTTCATCCTGTTCTTCCACCAAGAATAGTACTGACCATTGAAAAGTGGAGGCCTAATAGTGGATTGCCCTTCCCAGTTCCCAGGTGGTGCACTCATATTGATTTTCCTAAGGTGTTAGCCTCTTCAAGGATAACCTGCTCTGATACCAATTGATGTTATAAACGTCAATACCACACAAGAGGGGGGGGTGATTTGTGTGGTACCTAATTTTTGCGTTAGAAGAACCTGGTTCTTCTAAGTGTTCTAACTACAGCAGTTTGCGGAATAATGAATACTGAAAGTAAAGTGCACAGAGATTTTTACGTGGAAAACACCTGGCTCAAAAGGTGAAAAAACCACGACCTACTACTCAGTAGGATTTTCCCAAACTCCACTAAAATCACTGAGCCAAAAACTGCATTTACAAAACTCTTTGTAAACCTAAGGATTAACTCTAATCCCGTTGTAGCAACCAGCCTCTAACTGCTGCGACAACTTCAAGTTAACTCTAACTTGAATACTCAAAATACCTATTACAATTGCTTCTATGAAAGCTGGAAAGGTACAACTTTAAAACACCTACTACAATTGAACTAGAATAAAAGAAAGACACATAAAACTCTTTATGGAGCTGGTTCTTCAATCTGGTTCTTGTAGCTTCTGGTTTGCACACTTGAATCACACACGAATTGCTTGCAAAAAGCCTTGCTATTTTGCTCCCAATTCACGTTTAACTTCTGCGTTTTTGTGCAACACTTTAATGTGAGAACATCCTGCAATTTATAGAGTTAGTAGATGAAGAAATAACTAGAGTTCTGATGCAACTCTTCCTTGGTGGAAGAGTTCTAGTTGATTTCAACTTCTAACTCCTTCCCTATCTTGAATAGTGTTCTCTTTGATTAAGAACTCCTTCTCCTTATCAATTATGCAACCTTTTCGATCAGGAAATATTAAATACACCAAGTTAAGCTTATCTCCTTCACGTGCATCCCACATGCTTGAATCTGCCCGTTTTTGTGAACCTGAAGGATGGACCACTGGATGGACCTGGTTCATGCCTGAGTTCCTTTGTCAGTCTTCAAAACTAACCTTTACTTGGGCCAACACATACGGATTTAGAAAATAAGCTATTTGACTTTTAAAAATCTGATCTTAATGACTTTGTAACTTAAACATGGAACTTTGAAGTTTAATAGTCCTCACATGCATATAAACACAAATTAAACTACCCCAAAAATAAGAACGAAAGGAGATGCAGGGGATAGGATCATGTACCACTTATTTGAATGTTGATGGTCTTATTTTTCTGAATAGTTGTATTATACCTCGAATACAGCATCCTTTAAATCATTTGCCGACTTTCCGATAATCTTAGTTGCATCCTTATCCCACAACAGCAAAGAAATTATACCGGTGCAATCTATCACCTTAACTTGTAGCATGTACCTGGAAAGACTTTGTGTTTTAAAATTTTTAATCTTTAATAATAGTAAAAAAAAAACTATAAATTATGGTCATACCTATGAGTGGCAGATTGAATCTGCTCGCATTTTTTACAATAGAATTTTTTTTCCCTCTTTGGCTAGTTTCTTTGCACAATTTTTGCATGCTAAATAATACCATCCACGGTCTAATTCTACGTGTACAATAGTTGCTACAACCCAGAAATCTCCTGGCTGCGCATAAAAATTGTATATACAAATGTTATATAGAGAAAGAGAGGATAAAAGTTGTGATAATTAAAAATTAACAAAACTAAAAAGTAGGTACTCACATGCTTACAGTCACTCAGATCCTCAATAGTTTTAACTTCAATGCTTCCAGATGCTAGCTCATCAGCAACAGAATGAGTTTTGTGAGATGAAATTTGAGTAATTCTTTGTGAGCTTTCTCCACGCACAAAAACCATTCTGTTTCATTTTTTAAGTTGAGATACGTTAATAAATATTAAGACTAAAATTTGATTTGAAATATCCTTTAATTAAGTATAACTTATAGACCTGGAGCAAAAGTCAACAACTTGAGGAAGATTTGAATTGATCCAAAGCTTCGACGCGTGCCAAGTGTTCCTCATCGAATATTGTTCTATACACATAAAAGTAATTTTTAAGAGTTTACTAATTGTATAAAGACATTGTATTGTAAAGTAAGTAGACAATTTAATAACCTCGATATCGATGTGCTCTAACCAATTGCATGACGACGACGACAGGCTTATCATTGGATCCATTCAAATGTGGCTTGATCTGTTCGACAAAGTCTCCCCAAAGAGTTGCAGAAATGTTATTGCTCCTACAATTATTATAAGGTTAAGCATAGGAATCAAAATAATTGTTGAAATATTTAGTTAGTTTAATAAATTGTGGCGAGCTTACTCATAATCTTGTATCTCAATGTTCATGAACATACGGATGCTATCATCTTGTTTGATAGATTGTACGTCTTCATAGCTCACAATTTCGCCAATAACATCTACAATAACATTGACCAATGAAATATGTTCAAAATTAGTAATCATTATGGACAATATAAATGAATATTGTAAAAGAATTATTTAATTTCATGATCTACTTAAGATATAGCAATTGGTAAACCAAACATATAAGTCAGAAAAGAGATTACAGAATATTAACTGAAACTGAAAATTGTATCCACGATTAACAGAAATTAGATTGTCATTTTCAAAAGAGGACACCTCAATTTTACAATTACTTTTGTTAGTCACACAAAAGTAAGTAGTTAGCTTTCAGGTATGCATAACAACTTAAGTGAAAGTTAGGTTTACCTATCTATTTAATGTGTTTATTAATTAATTTTTTCTCTTACTAATTATAGTTGTTGTTCATTTACGACTGAGTCTATTTGAAAGGCAACAGGACAGCCATTTTATTTCTACTATGTCTATACAAAATAGAACGGATAACTCATGCACATTTGACAGTAAGGCATAGTTGCCAAACTTCTCTATGTGAACTCTCTCCGGTCTCCACAACATCAGCCTACTTTGAAAAGTAGAAATTTGGCTGATTTATCAAGTAGTCCTATTTATAGACTGCAGCAATAGGGAAAGTTTTTTTTAGCTACTACTTCACTGCCATATTTAGTTATATTGAATTAATTCTCACTTAGCACTCATATAAAAAATAACTAAAAGTAAAATGAAACTGGAAATAATGAGAGAAATTTAATTACCGAATAGCTCAGTATTGTCAAATTCCTGAGGATTTGACAGCTGCTCATAGGTTTTAAATTTGAAGATACACATGTTGAAATGTGGATCATGTATTTCCTCAACAGAGGTCTTATGCGTGAACATCAACTTAAACTTGTGGTCTTTGGTCTTCAGTTTCATATTATTTGGACAAACCACGAAATTCTTCATGATGTACAAACCCATTGCCTTAATTTGTTGATTGAACCTTTGAATAAAAGACCTGTCAATACTTGCGTGAATGCGGTCGCCCAAAAAAAATAGTTAATTAGTTAAAATGACTAAGTTATTTTGCATATGACTGTAATATACTTATGCATATGTAAACAATGCAAATAGAAAGTAATCGTAAAGTTTAAATCAATACCTTTTCATCCATCACAATAATCTCAATAGAAAAAGGGGTATCAGGTCTGTCGCGATCCGGATTTTCCCAAAGCCTGACAACACGAACCTTTAATTTCCAATTCATTGACTTGCTGTTAATTTCGCTAACGAAATTTATTTCAGCCGCCATTAAGTCCTGAAAATAGACAGAGGTATTCATAAATATTAGTACAAACTCCAACAAAATGCTTATAAAAACACATATGAAGCAAGAGATCATGTGAAATAATTGACTTTTTGCTGACGATTCTCCAAAAAATCATCAGCAAGAATCTGTGGTATAACCCTAAGATTGGTAAACAACAGTTGCCATAGGAGTTACCCCGTCAACAAACTTCACGAAAAATATATTCCAGAAATACAATCTCAACTGTAATAAAGATTGTTTATGAAATACAAATTATACCGATCACCTCTTGTAGTCCACAATTGTTGTTTGATACGCACACGAGGGAGAAAGAATAGAAGTATATATTGTAAAAGTAGAAAACTGAATTGAGAAAACTGTGAAATCATGTTACTGAGAATGTAGGACAGAAGAATGCGTGGGTGAGGAGTTGAAATCGTGGTGAGAGATCGTGGGATAGAAGCCGAATTTGTAGGATTGCTATTTCTAGGGCAAATAGGGGAAGGAAGGGCGTGGGTCTGAAGCGCCGAGTTCCCAATTCCTCTTTCTTATAAAAAATACAGTTTCTTAAAAACAGTAGAAACTACTGATTAATTGTTTTTAAATTCAAAATTTTAAAACAGAAAGTAATTTCACCTAAACTAACTAATGGCGTGGGATTAAAAACTAACTAATAGCGTGGGATTGAAGCGCTACAGTTTCCCAATAAAACAGTAGAAACTACTGAATGTTTAACAAAATAATATACCTATTTAATTATTTTCAAATTCAAAATTTTGAAATAAAAATTAATTTTACCTATATTAACTGATTTGTCCTAAATTGCTACATGGCATGTTATGGACATGACACTTGGCAAAAGCTCAGGGCAGACTTTCTTCCTTTTAAGTAAATATAGATATCTATCAATATAGGAGAAGCAAAAGCACTACATTAAGACAAGTGTCTTAACCACAAAAAGCCAAGTGGCAATGTTAAGACAAAATAAATTACTTTTCTAACTAATTCTTTTTTTTGAATTTTAAATTTTGAATTAATTGGTTACACTACTTGGATTAATAAATATAGATATCTTATAATTATCAATAAAAAACGAAAATACAAAAGAATATTTCACTCATTCAAATAGGGAAGTAGTTTCAAGTTGGAGTTTTAAATTATTTTACAATAAAAGCAAAATCCTAATACAGTAGTAGTGTGTGTATGTATGTGATGTATATGTATGTATGTATGTATGTATATATATATATATATATATATATATATATATATATATATATTGTGACGACCCGACCGGTCGTCTTAAGAATTAACGCCCGATCCCCTATTAACTATTTTCCCCGGGTTTATTTCTGCTATTTTGAATTGCCGGGACGTTCGGTTTTGAGTTTCGGAGAGTTTTGGGACACTTAGTGCATGATTCAGAGATATGATATTTCACTTCTGGCGAAGGAAAAACAATTGGCCTATGATGTCCAGATTTGGGGTGATGGAGTAACGAGACTTGGTAAATTCGAGTATGGTGGAATTTTTATCTACGATGTAGTGTCGTCGTCCTCGATTGTATGTGTTAAGTTCGCCGGTGTTATGGTCTTCTGCAATTCGCCCTTGGGGTAGGATATTGTGAAATAATATTGGAGAAAAGACCGTTGGATATCGCGGGGTGCGGTGGTTCAGGATTGAATAGGTATTTCTAATGTTGACGGCTCGAGAAAGATGATCTCCGGAAAGGTTTAAAGTTAGCAGCGAATTGTGGGTTCAAGTGCGACGAAGATAGATTTTATTAAGGCAACAACTGAGTAGCAAAGGATGAGGAAAGACATGTGGGGAGTGTCAAGCGGTGGTTAAAATTTCTAGAAGGCCAGGTATAAGAAGTAAAGGTCGAGTGGTCGATTAGAGGGGTGAGTTCCGCCAAAGTGGGAGAGTGGAGGATTTGCATATGGGCCTTGTGCTAGGATGACTACGCACCTTAAGGAGAGTTTGGAACGACTTGGGAATTTTAGTGATTGACGATTGGGGTCTACGGATTTAATTTGAAGTATTGGGCTATTATGCGGCAGGAGATTTGATATAACAGAAAGGAGCTACTTGAAATGAAGAAGGATACAACGTAACTTTGAATTGGAAGGATGTTGCCCCATATTTAATTGATGTCCACGAGGGGTGAATGGGACTTGTGCAGCTAGAGAGTGAGCTTGGTTTCAGGATTTATGCCTTGTATAGAGGTGGGTTTCAAGGGAAGTGATCCTGCCGGGTGCTTCTTCGAGAGGGTATTCATGTGCTAGAAGATTCATGGAGTTGATTATATTCGGGGCCAAGTCAGAGCGGGTGGCTCTCAGCAACGGTCCTAGTGGATTCAAAGGGGCAAGGCGTGGTGCCTAATGATTTCGAGCCTATAGGTACGGTTAAGAATCAAGCTTTGTAACAGCTTATGAGAAGAGGCACAACATGTTCTATGATGTTTTGACTCGCAGTGTAGCATTTGGGAGGTATGAAATGGTTCATGAGATTGAGACAGCATGGTCTCGTGAATTCAAGGTCACTCGGAATGAGTACGGATGGAGTGTGTTATGTGTTGAATGGAGTCATTATTATTCTAAGGCAATCAAGAATTAATTTGGAAGAAGATAGATTGGTTAGCCATAGTTGAATTGGCATATTGGTGGTAGTGATCATTTCCTTCAATGTGATCAAGTTATGCAAGTGATTCGTGACGGCATGTGTGGGGCTTGTCGACCGCCGTAATTGATGTTATTCAGAAGTATTCCCACTGTTATGGCCTGTCATGTGTAGGCGGGTCCCGAAAGGGCTATGGTGGCTTAGACCACTACTTAGAGATTTGCATATTCTACGGTTATAAAAATTCACCTGTGTGTTGCTATGATTCTCCTGAAGTGAGTTAAGTGAAAAGTTTTATATGATGAAGTGTTAATCTATTAGTGGTTACGGAGCTATGATGAAAATCGTGTTCTATCATATATTGGTGTGTTGGTGCAGTGTGTGGTATGGAATTTGAAGTGAGGACCAAGGTTGCAGTTCGGTGTTGACAAGGATGTCGCGAGCTCGGATGAGCAGTAAAGAAGTTTCGATGTTTAAAGTAAGTGGGTATCGTCTTCAGCGTCACCTGAGATCGGTGTTTTGTGAAAAAGGCCTTGCATCCTGGTTATGGATTCTTGAATGCTTTCTCAGCGTTAGTGCGGCTGGTGGTATGGATACGCATATTTGTTGTCTGTTACGGAAGGTCGTAGGAGCGTGCCCCACAGGAAGATTGTATAAGTGTGGCATGTAGTCACTCGGTTGATTTAAGATTTAAACCAAGTATCAAGACGGTGGTGATATCATTAATTTGAGAATTTATGCTTGGAGGGCACTCGACTTATTGGGTTGTGGGCCTTGGAGGATTTGCCCCGGTTATGATGGTAGTTCTCGTGTGTGTTATGAGAAAAAGGGAGTTATTATGGACCTTCGAAAGGTTATTAGCCTAGTTCAGTGTGATCAGAATCAGCTTGAGGTCTGTGGATGGATCTAAATGTGAAAATGGGCTCTATATCAGGCCAGATGTGTTCATTTCAGCAAACAAGTAGTCGGGGTACTATTTCGTCGTCAGCTATTTCATGTAATGATACATTGCGTCGTATGAGTTGTGAGATGGCTTGATGAGTTTCTTATATGTTGAGGTTCCGCGTAGAGATGATGTTATATGAGCAGGATGGCTCTCGAGATTCAGACCGTATATAGCACCTCAGCAGTGTTTGAGTTTTGTAGCCTATGGCACTATATGTCTCCCCAAGGATGGTATTACGCACTTAGCGTGCTTGTGACCGATATTCGGAATTTTGTTATAATGAGCAGTTTAGCTGATGTATATCTCCTTATGTGAATTCTATGTGTGGATCGGGTGGCACGCCGCCATGGGTATGTTATTTGGATCGGGTTGCACGCCCCAACAGTGTGATATTGAGTACAGTTTTCTATATGCTATTTTTGTATACCTTGCTTCCTATTTTCTAAGTAAAGTTCATATTAGTGCGTGAGTTGAGTAGTTCCTTCTAGAGTTCGTTTTCCTTTTGTCGCGTTCGAGTTCATAGCCTATTGGCACATTGTGGCATCATATGAGACTTTTGATCATGTCCGGCGTGGCTTATTGCCTGAGCGGTTCGTACTGGGTGAGACGAGATCATTAGATTTAGGATCAGTGCAATCTGATTATATGAAGTATATTAAGGAGCTAAGACCATTATTTGGTTCAGAATGAGGTGATGGTTCTTATCAGGAGTATAGGCCCAATGATTGTTGATTCGGCAGTTGGGTTTGAATTTCTACACACCTCTTCCATCTTGGCGGTATTGTAAGAGTTGGAGCAAGACCTATGCAGGTCATGAGGTGCAATGGGAGCATCAGATTCGTGGAATTTCGACTAATTTGATCAGAGAATGTTATTGTGGTCCTGTGAGTAAAGTGGTGCAAGGAGTGAAGTCAGCTAAGGTATACAGTCATGTTTTGGTACCGCGAGTGGTTATTGATATGGTGAGCGTATGGTGGAACAGGCCTGGCAGAGAATTTTGGATGTAGGAATTGGAATCTAAGGCTTATTTGCTTAAGTGAAAAGGGGATATCTTCAGATTGATCGAGCTAGGGCACCCAGCTGAGTTGTGGTAGCATGGGTAGGAGCTCGAGGTGTTAAACAGTGATTTCAAACAACCCCAACACGGTTCTTAGCACGTTCGAGGACGAACGTATGTTTAAGTGGGAGAGGATGTAACGATCCGACAGGTCGTTTTGAGCTCTAGCGCGTCGCTCAGCGGTTTGGGGCCATGAGCAGCTTCACTTCAAGTATGTTTCTATGCTCGCTAGAGGACGAACGAATGTTTAAGTTTAGGAGGATGTGACGACCCGGCCGGTCGTCTTAATAATTAACGCCCCGATCCCCTATTAACTGTTTTCCCCAGGTTTATTTCTGCTATTTTGAATTGCCGGGACGTTCGGTTTTGAGTTTCGGAGAGTTTTAGGACACTTAGTTCCCAAATGAGAGCATAAGTGTTAGAAAGTTGACCATAGGCGGAACAGTGTGAAGACGGCCTCGGAATGGAAATTCGAGGGTTCCGTTAGCTCCGTTAGGTGATTTCGGGTTTAGGGGCGTGGTCGGATTGTGTTTTGGAGGTCCGTAGCTAATTTAGGCTTGAAATGCCTAAAGGGCGAATTTTGAAGTTTCCGGTTCTATAGTGAGTTTTTAATCCGAGGGTTGGAATGGAATTCCGAGAGTTGCTGTAGTTACGTTATGTCATTTGGGATGTGTGTGCAAAATTTCAGGTCATTCAGACGAGGTTTGATAGACTTTTTGATCGAAAGCGTATTTTGAGAAATTTGGAGTTCTTAGGCTTGAATCCATGGTTAATTTGAGGTTTCGATGTTGTTTTAGGTGTTTTAAGGATTGGTACAAGTTTGGGGAGTGGTATTAGACTTGTTGGTGCCTGTGGTTGAGGTCCCGAGGGCCTCGGGATGATTTC